GGACTACTCCGGCCTCTCAGGCTCCAAATGACTATAGGTCTCAAGCCAAGGCCTCTTTTCCTCTGAGGATCGGCTGCCATCGATTAAGGTTCTCAATCGTATAGGTAACGGCCTCATGATTCTCGTCTCCGTCCGATTCATTATCTGTACGCTTGATCCCTCTACCTAAATCGAAAGATCATGTCCTAGATTAATCTTGCCTCTCGGCTCCACTATCATTCTTCTCAGCTCACAAGTATCGTCCCCCTCTCTTGTTTGGCCTCTTTTTTGGTCCATATCGCATCGGTTCAGTGACGGTATAGGTACCTCTAACGCCAGCGCAACTTACTAGCCCCCGTTTGATTTTCTTTGCTACTGTGACACTCATTATTAAACCTACTGGACTTGTCCGGCCTCTCAGGCTCCTAATACCCATTGGTCTCACAACAAGGCCTCTCTCATTCGAGCATCGGCTGCCGTCGGCAAACGTTCTCATTTGTATAAGTAACTGCCTCACGTACTTGCCTCCGTCTTGAACATTACCTGCATGCTTTGTCCTTCTGCCGAAATTGAAATTTCAGGTCCCTGGTTGAATTTTGCCTCTCGGCTCCACTCTCATGCTTCTCAGATCACAATTATGTCCCCCTCTCTTGTTTGGCCTCTTTGCTGGTCCATATCGCATCGGTTCAATGGTGGTTTAGGTTCCCATAGCGTCAGCACAACATACTAGGCCACATTTGATCCAGTTTCCTACTGCGCCACGCACTCCTAAACCTCCTGGACCGCACCGGCCTCCGGCTCCAAATGCCTATATTTCTTAAACAATGGCTTCTCTTCCTTTGAGCATCGATTACAGTTCTCATTGGCATAAGAAACAGCCTCATGATACTAGCTCATTACCTGCATTCTTGTTCGCCTGCATAATTGCAATTTCAGGTCTATGATTGACTTTTGTCTCTCGGCTCCACCATCATGAATCTCAGCTCACAATTACGTTCCCCTATCTTGTTTGGCCTCTCTTTTGGTCCATATCGCATCGGTTCAATGGCGATATAGTTATCACTAGCGTCAGCACAACATCCTAAGCTTCCTTTGATTCCCTTTGCTACTGTGGTACTCAGTTTTAAACCTCTTCGACTACTCCAGCCTCTCAGTCCCCAAATGCCCATAGGCATCAAACCAAGGCCTCTCTTCTTTTGAGGATCGGCTGCCACCGATTAGTTTTCTCATTGGTATAATTAACTGCCTTATGTGCTCGCATCCGTTTGACACATTATCTGCATGCTTGGTCGTTCTACGGAAATTGCAATCTCAGGTCCCTGGTTGAGGTTTGCCTCTCGGCTCCATTCTCATGCTTCTCAGCGCACAAATACGTCCCCTCTCGTGTTTTGCCTCTCTTCTGGTCTATATCGCAACAGTCCAATGGCGGTATAGTTATCACTAGCGTCAGCGCAACATCCCAGGTCTCTTTTGGTTATCATTCCTTCTGTGCGTCTCATTACAAAACATTTTGGCCAAGTCAGTCCTCTGAGGCTCCAAATGCCCATAGGTCTCAAGCCAAGGCCTCTCTTATTTTGAGCACCGGCTGCCATCGACTCAAGTTCTCGTTGGTATAAGTTACAACCTTATGATACTCTTCTTTGTCTGAATCATTATCTCTATGCTTGCTAACGCCTACCGAAATCCGAATTTCCGGTCTCTGATTGACTTTTGCCTCTCGGCTCCACTATCATGCATCTCAGCTCACATTAACGTCTTACTCTCTTGTTTGGCGTCTCTCTTCGCTCATATCGCAACTATTCTTTGGCGGTATAGGTACCACTAGCATCAGCTCATCGGTCACTCCATTGATTTCAGCCAGCACAACTTTACCATATATTTTATATTTATACAATAACATAGTCCTGTTCAATTTTGTTGGCAGTTTGCTCGGTCCGTTTTTCTTCTCACCCTTGTTCTACATGATAACATTACCTGCACCGAACACCGCTGAAGACGTACCTGCGACGCTCCCATGGACACGGATTCAATAAAGAACAAAGAAAAACCCGCACTTCATAATCATGACACACTAAAGAACCTAGGAAACTGATCAATTCAATACAAGTCACCTGAGTCGTCCGACTTCAACAGCTCCAACCACTTGTAATGGACTCCGAAGGCGACTACACAGCCATAGGGAACAAATTGGCGTTGCATGGCTGCGAATATCCGCGAGGGTAATCGGTTAGATACCATCTTGCCAATGTATATCAACAGCCGGCAGTGTTCCAGGACGTGGTGGGTCTTCGTCTGGCAAGCGTTTTCCCTACAAAAAGCCACAAATGTCTGTTTAACAACACTGCGACGTGGCGGATGTGACTCGCCACTCAATAAAGTCACCGCCCCTAACACATTGGCAAGTTGATTGACACCACATTTACAAGTTCTGTGCATATATCGGCTCTCGCATGAACACGCCTACATATCTGTCTAGTGACATACCACTATTCTTAAGTATTTTCCACCCGTTTCCTCATACTTCACTCACTGACCTACATTGCTTACGGGACCTCATCGTACTAGTTCCTCATCAACAGACCATATAAGTGATCTGATCACTATTTTTACCTCTCGCAATTTGTGTACATAGACTACATACAACCTTTGGGCTCTATGGGCCCACACTACTGTCTCCAGCTTTACTACTCCCATTGTTGGTGCTGCTTATCCCGTTATCATGTACAATAATGCAATATGCTGATCATGCCCAAAAGGCGTGCCTCGCTTTGTCGAGAATAAAATATTTATTTATTTATTTAGGTCGAACTAAAAGATAAGGGCATAACGGCAGACCGTCCAAGGTACAATCAGCTCGTCCCACGCCTTCCTCCGTCGGTAGTGACGCTGATTGAGGACATTCTACTCTGCCCATCGAATGAGGCAAAGGATGAAACGATGAAGCAAGCGATTTTGAAAGAGTTACGACCCAGCGCACGAACTCGATTTGAGCAGCTCAATGGTCTCAAGCTTGGAGATCGCAAGCCGTCGACATTGCTCCGCGAACTTCAGCGCATCGCTGGTCCCTTATTCTTGAGCGAAGAAGGGATAAAGGAGCTGTTGTTTGCATGTCTCCCAGAGCCATTGCCGGTAATGCTGTCCATGTTTACAGATGCACCCTTGAAAGACTTAGCTACCAAGGCAGACGCTGCGTTCGAACGTTTTCCGCAGCAGACGACCAGTAACTCCGGTGACGTATTCTCACCGATGAAAACCGAATGCCATGTTTGTTCCCAGTCGCTAGACCGATCTGACTCTAAAGACGAGGAAATTGCGCTACTTCGCAGCAGGATAGCAGCAATGAAGGCTTCGAAGCAGCGGGTGCCACGGTCAAATGCTGCCCACGTTTTGGCTACCGTTCATTGCGGCTCGTTTGTGCCTGCACCCAGTAAGTCACGTTCGGCACGAAAGGGCTACATTTTCCTTACAGGTTCTCAGTCAGATAATGTCAAACCCGTCGAAGAAGTATGTTGGTATCACCGCCAATACGGTGGAAGAGCTAGACGTTGTCGTGCTCCTTGCATTAGGCACGACCCTAGGGAAAACGAATAGCCCGCATACTAGCACTACAAACGTATCATTCAATAAGCAAGCAAACCGACTGTTTTACATTAAGGATCGACGTTCTTCCATCACCTACCTCATCGACACGGGAGCGGAAGTTAGCATCATCCCAGCGACCGCCAGCGACAAGCACTCGGAGCCTAGGTACAATTTGCGTGCGGCCAACGGTTCTCCGATAGCTTCATTCGGTCAGCGCATGATGAACCTAGACCTCAATCTTCGCCGAGATTTTCAGTGGGTCTTCATGGTTGCGTCTGTACCCTTCGCAATTATCGGTATCGACTTCCTCCGACATTTTGGGTTGCTTGTTGATGCTGGTCGCCACAGACGAAACTAGATGTTGATGGTGTCCTTTCAGATGCCCCGATAATCAGCCCTGTATTTCGGATCGCAGACGCACCGTCCGACTACTTGAGCCTCCTCTCCGAATACCCGCGACTGGTTCGACCGGCTGCAGAGCTTCCACCAGTCACGACAGAGGTCGCTCACCACATAGTTACGCGCGGTCAACCAGTTAGCGCACGAACAAGACGGCTTGCTCCAGACAAACTACGGGCAGCACGAGCCGAATTCGACCAAATGCTTCAACTTGGTATCGTCTGACCGTCCAACAGCCCATGGGCGTCGCCTCTGCACATGGTCCCGAAGCAGGTTGTGGGGGAC